TTTAATCTAAAATCGACGGGTCTGAGCGTTTTTCTACAATCTTGACGCAGTTCCTGAAAATGGCTCTGTTTCGTTTTCATTTGGCCACCCTGTATATTATTAATGAGAATCTCTAGTCTCCCTTACATAAAGCGAGGCAAAATAAAGTGAGGTTAGATGTGACAATGTGAACAAATATTTAAGTGATGAAACTCACTACTGTGGATTGTTACATTTAACTGTGTTTTCTACTTGTGAAGCCAGTCTGTTTATACATCTTCATACACATTTGCAAATTGTAAAGAAAGCCAGTCGAGCTATCGATGGAATCTGTGGATCCAAAAATGTTTCTTCTTATTTATGAGATGTGTTAAAACAATTGTTATTTGCAAAAAATATTTTTGTCAATAGAGTCGATTTATTTACTGGTGAAATATCTTCTCCAAGTTTGTAAACACCCTGTATTATTTGACACCTTTGTAATAAAATAAGAATTATTTCTCACAAACTAGCAAGAAGAATGAAATTGCAAACTATCAATTACGATAAATATAGCAGCCTATAAATTACAATGCATAACAGTGAGGATGTAAACGAAAATAATACGTCAATATCTGAATTTATACACCCGCTTATTTTTTTCACGTCAAATTTATTGCCAAGTGTTATATTGTACAGTATCCGTTTAATTTCTTTCATATTTATAAATTCGATCAAAATATAAATTTAATGGTTTAGCGTATATCATATTGTCACATAATTCTTTTTTGTAAAGAGAAAAAACAGTTATATTCACATGTTTATTATTTTCCAGTTTCTTTGCCGCAAGAACATAGGTATTGACATGTTTCCTTCAATTCATTTGTTCCATGTTGCAAACATGTACAAATTTTGTTTTCTTAGGTTTCCCTACAGATTCATTATTTATTTCAATATATTTTGTCTGTTTATCGAAAAATGTTTTCATATATTTCATCTCCTTAGATCTCGACACATATTGCATAAAATGTGTCAACTTAAAATAATGTGATGATGATATCGGTATCGATAAGCATTAAAACTCTGCCCCAATTGACGTGACGGATTATTTGGGCAACATTATGAGATAACAGCAATAAATCTAAATAAAGGTATTTGGTTAGTTGAGAAAATTTTAATTGATGGAAAATTTACACTTTTGACAGATGGCAGATTACTTCTGAATGTCGTTTCACGTTTCAAAACTGGTAACTAAGTTCACCATTTATTTACTTAATTTTGACTTGCTTTTGTTTATTTTAGGTGTGACTAAATGATGTTTATAGCTTGGTAAATTTTGAAAGACTGACTACTACGAGCCCTGTTCTAGTTCTTTAATCTGAAGACAAAAGAACGTGTTGCTATGGATACATTGTATTGACGTTTTATGAAATTTTTAAATTGGAAATTATGCCTTACATTTATTACACTTACATATTCAGATTCTACATAATTTTCTGTATATTTCAGTATTTATATATTTCTTCTACGTTCATTTTCAAACATTCTACAAAATTTTCAAATTTTTGCAAAATGAAGTTATGCAAAGGACTTTTGATTCTACTTATAAATATAGACTAAAGGTATGATAAATTTTAATTATAGCCTTTGTTTATTGCATGATTTTATTTATAAATGTAACTTCTTCTCTCTCCGTCAATCTTCCTGTCAAAATCTTAATTTTCTATAAATTTCATCAAAACAATGCTCCTATATGGTACATGACTTTATAAAATTGCACTTGTTGTACTTTCTAAATTTCTACTATTATATTGTTGTCTTTTTCAGCCTATAGTGGAGTCAAGATAGCTTAAAATTACAGATTATTTCGAAATAATTATGGGAAGCATGGATTTTCCTAAAACCTTTTGAAATAACTTGGAGATAAGTATTAGAAAAAAGTTATAAACTTATTTTTGTATGCTAATTGTTTTTTAATTGTTTAAACATTAAGAACATTTAAAATAATTCAATGAATTTTAAATCGAATTCCTTCAAATTGACAATATAGGTATAGTGGTTTTCGATGTCGCTGAACAAGAATATGATGTCGGAAAACGAAAATTCAAAATGGCTGATCCAATATGGTCGACTATTTTAAACTCGCTTATATTTGTAATATAGAGGTTCGAAAAACAAAAATTATAAATGGCTAAAGAGGTTTTATTGAAAATATGTTTTATTTTTTAAAAAACAAATTTATTACAAATTAATTAATTTTTAAATCTCATCGAGTTCTTCCTCTTCTTCAAAAATAACTGGGCAATTAAGGCTTTAAGCCAATAAAATTGAAAAAAAAAACACTGATTTTAAATACAAAATTACAAAATCAAAATCAACGTCCCCTATTATTTATTTATTCATTAATTATTTTAAAAATGGATCAATAGGTATAAATATTAAACTCATACATTTACAGGTTTAGCATAAAAGAAAACGAATACGTTAAATGCAAACTGAAGATTATTTTTAATATTAAGTAATAATATTACCTTAAATAATTACAAGTGTACGAAAGTATAACCTCAAAATGGACAAAATATGTAAATAATACACTTTTTAACACACTGATAACTGCAGCTTACTCGAAAACAAAAATCATATTCTTATACCATTTATAATAATAATTATTTAATTCTTATAAACGAAAAACGCTTTTAAAATAAATAAAACTGTAAGTAAAGATCAAATCAAAAGTATACGATTCCATTTAAAATTTTCAACTTGACCTCTAAATGACCTTCAAGGTCATGGTCAAGGTCATGGTAAATGTCACCGTTGTATTGCTCACTCAAAACCCTGCAACTTTTGTCCTAATAATTTTTTTGTTTGAGCAATATTTTCTAAGATAGAGGAGGGGGGGGGGTCTCCAAACTTTTTGAACACCCTGCATATATATTAGACTCATACCTGTGTCTACATCAATAAGAGAACTTACATTCACAATTTCAGATACAGAATATACGTTTTAAAAATGAATATTAATTCAATTAATCAAAAAACGTTATTTTTTGCTGTTATAACAATTTTCCACTTATTACTATAAATAAAAAAATTATTTTTCGCCGGATTTACTTTTTTTAAGGTCTTAACTTAATTCTTTGATGGTTTATTAAACAAAGAAAACTTTTATGTACATTATTAAAATTTATTTAACAATAAATTTCACGGATTTTTCATGAAATATTTTATTTTTTTGTTATTTTTTGTTTTTTCAACTATTATTTCAATTTTTTAAGAAAAATAAAATGCACCATCTTAAAGTAGAGATTTTAAGCTTTAAAAAGTGCTCTCATAAAGTTTCAATATCACATTTAAAACTATAGTTTTTGATCTATAAAGTATGGCCTAAAAAGTCAAATTTGTGATTTTTTAAAATTATTGAATATGTTGGGCTCAATATTTTTCAAATTAAATTTTTAAGATTTTTTCCATATCGCTCACTGTTTTAATCGTCATTTGAAGAGTAATCTGTGAAAGTTACAGATATTTATTTTAAAAATTAAAAGAATGGCAGCTATTTTATTATTATTGTACAAAATTATAGAATGACGTAACTTTGTATACGTACTATATACATATTTTTTTCTCAAGTTTAAAGATATAAAATTTTGATAGGCGGATGACTCTTCTTTCATTTAAATTTTTGTGAGAACGATTTGATCAATTAGATCAAAAGTTGTAACAAATTTAGTGTAGCGCGCTCGGGGCCGTGCGCTCTTCGAGAGCTATACTTGGGGGCCGCCCGTCTCATTTTTCGTACGTTAGAAAAAAAAATTCTACAGCCTTCAATTCGCATTTTAGAAAAAGACTTTAGTAACAATTTTTATGTAAAATTCCTTTAATTTATTTTTTTTTTAGTTATATTTTTTTATATATTTTGCAAAAACTGTAATTTTGCAACTATGTTAATTTGTCACCCAAAATAAATAATTTAGCGTACACTTTACAGTTGGTAACTTTTTATATATTGTTTCTGACAACTTTACAAAGCGGAAAATAAAAAGTTTTCTCTTCTAGTAAATTTCGCGATGTCAAAATCTATCTTGACTCCACTACTTAAGTTTATTTTGACAGATTGATGTATTCATCTAGCGATTTTGCCTTTTTATTTAACAAACTTATTCTATATGTTAATTTTAACCTTCATTTTCTCATGTCTAGTATTTCACATCCCTGTTGTCAGTTTTTCTCTATTTTTTCTACCGCAAATATGTCTAAATTTCCAACATTACGTTATGCTGTTTATTCATTTATCGTTTCAAATTAGAATATCATGACACTACGATGTTACTAGTTAAAGAAATCTTTACTAAAAGTGCAATTTCTTGTCCATAAAACGCCGGCCTTAACCCATTATTGCCTGAATTATTTTTTTTGCAAATTTCATTTTTTTTTATCGAACGTATGTCCATAAACACAGTTGATCGGATAATTTTTTGTTTTTTATTTTATTTAAAAAAATACAAGGTGTACCATATATGTCACGCTAGGCAGATAGGAAAAGTCAAAATAATAAAAATAAAAGCAAAACAATGATTTTAATTTCTACCATGAAATGGTGAAAAACAGGATACACACAGGCCTACATTGCATTTCTTGCACTGCGTGCGAACAGCACTTGATTTTTCTGTATGAGCCTGCCCCGTGCACCGCCTGGGTTTTCCATCTGGTACAGACTCGACCATACGTCCATGGTCCATACGATCCAATTGTATACTGTTATGAACACGGCTCTTAGCAGATGCAGAGGAAGAACGACCAGCACCCTTAGGAGTTACTTGATACTTGGTCAAATAACACTGAGCGATTTCTCTTCTAAACAGAAGTTGAGAAACTTTATGACCTGTGCTTTTGGCAAGTATCCACGCATTTTGTATGCTTGTGTCAATCAGCCAGGTAAATATCGCCCACCACCATTTCTTACCTAGGATGCCTATTCTGTAAACGTTGCTATTAGCGTCCATTTGATCCGTACCGCCCATAAAGTTACTATATTTACAAATGACATTAGTCTGGGTCTCAGCAGCTGAGTATCTGTTAGCAGTTGTCAGAAGATAAAGAGAATTGAAGCTACCATTACCACTGAATTATCTCTTCATCTTGTTACAAGAATTGAATCTATTTCGGCAAAAGCAAAGTCAAATTCACCGTCTATAAATAACTCAAAAATATTACAACTGTCATGCCTCGGAAAGTAGAGTACCTAATCTTGTTCTGGAAAAATTTCATCCGATTCATCCAAATCATGACATTTTCCATGAAAACGAACGTTTTTTATTGATATTGAGCCTATTCTTCATTCTTTTCCACAGGTGCAAGTTCTTCAGTAACTAAAATTGTCTCACTTTCTCCACCAATTACCCTGCTCCTTACCGTCACTGCTTCTGCTTGTGCTTGAAGCTGTTTCTCTGACAGATTATTATCCATCATCCCTCCTCTGTTTTCGACAGAATCTTTATCCGAATATTCGTGGGAGGTACAATATACACTTTATCAATAGGATCGTCTCCCCAAAACTCGTTATTTTCAAATAATTTTGCAATTTCTGCAGCAGTCAAACTGAGAAGAAAAATAGAACCTATTTGCCTAGCGTACCTTTTATGGCACGGTGACGTAAACTGTCCGGTAAACACATATAAACAACTTTAGATTAATCCAAACTAACATTTTTCCAATATTTACTAATAATTTCAGTAAACTAAATAGTTATATCCACATATACATAGTTACATTATCAAAAATATATACTTACAACTTTTTGTAACTCATTTTTCACCCGCAAAATAAGATAGCACCAAATACAGCTCTCTTGTCTAGAGAAAATATTTAATTATGAGATAATTGTAAGTTTTAGTACAGAGACAATAGCATACTTGTAGGTGCTTTAAATTTGGCAATACAAATTAATTCCTAAGACGTGTTTTACTGTACCATAATTGGCACGCTAGGTATTAATGGGTTAATACAGAAAACGGTAACTAACTCCCAGTATCGCCGCCGCTGCTTGACATATTCGCACACTAATCCAGTGAATTTTTATCTCTAATTATTTAAAACCCTTCTCGGTGTTAAGTTAATTAAATAAATTGTCTACTTAAAACTGTTTCGCTTACTCCACCACGCGCTAACTTTCCACTCTCCTTAATGCAGTGGAATAAAAATAATTTCTTCTCTCTTGGCCCAGTTCCTCGTTCTCAAATTTAATTAATTAAATAATTCCATCCAAACTGGGGTACTTCCCGTTTTAGCCCACCCACTCCTGCGAGTGCTCCTAACCGGGGTTCGGGGGCGGGCCGTCTCCGCATCGAAAAGAAATTAAATAAAGTCGATTTGCGAACCGGAAACAGGAAATGAAAAAAGCGAATCTGCTCGCAAGGCCCTTTAGCGCAGAAATATGTCGCTATGGTTACTGATAAGATTCCAGCCGAGCGTGAATAAAGATATTACTGGTTGATGGGAAAAAATAAATAATTCTATCAGTGTGGAATCATTTTTTCGGCGAAAACTTGTCGGGGGGGGGGGCTTTGTTGGAGACACTCCGGCTAGATTGGGATTAGATGGGGCACTGATTGGATTTATTGTTCGATTCGATAATGTCCTCGTGTCATGTATTATGCTACGTAGATACAGTTACTCTTGTTAGATACATTTTTTTGCTATAATGAAAGGAGACTTAAAAAAGCAGTAGATGCTACAAAGACCAGTCGACACATTTTTGATGAGAAAGCAGTGACATTTCCGCCATGGATCTTTATGTTTTTGGGGTCGCTGATTACGAAACAGAGATTAAAAAAAATTTGACAGTTGACAGCTGCCAAAACGGTGAAATATTGACATATTGACGAAGCAACTCGAGATCTTGGATAATATTGCTGGTAAGTGGTTTTTCTCTTGACAGTTGACAGCTGTCATATCGACGCTGTCAAAATGTCAGAATGAATTGGTTTTTCGAGGCTTTTGGGCGTGATAATTCTAAATTTGAAGTTGAAAATCACTCTTGACAGCCGACAGCTGTCATATCGAGAATGTCAAAGTAAAAAGGAGTCGATATTTTCAAAACAATAATACTCAAGAGGTTTTTGAAGTTGTTGATCTCGAATTTAACATCAGAAATGCCTTTTGGAGGTTTACAGATGTCATGTCGCTGTTATCAAAATGATAATATGGATTGTTATTTTTGCAAATATGATCTTCCAAGGGTCATGACCGGATAATTGTATATATCGTGAAAATGATGGAGAATGAACGATTAACCAGCATTTTATTTTGGACTACAAAGTACACTGAACACGATTCAATCTAAATACTAGTCTAAATGAACCTGCAGGATCCTTATGGGAAATGGCTTTCGTCAAACACAGGCACAGACAAAGACACAGACACAGACACAGACACAGACACAGACACCGACACCGACACCGACCCAGACCCAGACCCAGACTAAGACCTAGACCCAGACTCAGACCCAGACCCACACACAGACACATACACAGACACAGACACACACACAGACACACACAAACACACACACAGACACAGACACACACACTGGCACACACAGACACAGAGACACAGATACATACACACAGACACAGACACATACACAGACACATACACAGACACAGACACAGATACATACAGCGCTATCCAAAAAGTTTGCACCATATGGGAAAAAACTTTATGTATAAATTTAATAAATTGCTTCGATTGTCAATTGTCTCTGCATGTCGTCAAATTAAAATAGCACCCATCGACCTTCATAAAACGTGTGTTATATACGAGGAGCAGACGAAAACTGCAAATCGGCCCAAGAGTAAAGTACCTTTATTTTCAACAAAATCTTATGAAGAAAAGTTATTTTCCTCTGAAAGATTAGACCGAATATAATGTATCAGTTGATTTTACTGAAAAAGCGAAAACAACAATTACTAAAGTCATGTTTTTTTAGTACGCTTCAAAACAAGAAACATTATAATTCCTGAAAACAAGTTGAATCAGGAACTAATAAGGCCGTTATAAAAAATGGTGTAGAAAATAAGAACGAAGTTGGTGCAAACACAGGGAAATAAATTTTCTTTAACATTTTTCCGTAGGATTGAAAATAAGGGTACTTTACTTTTGGGCTGATTTGCAGTTTTCGTCTGATCCTTGTATATAACACACGTTTTATGAAGTTCGATGGGCGCTATTTTGATTTGACGGCATGCAGAGACTACTGACAATCGAAGGAATTTATTAAATTTATATATAAAGGTTTTTCCCATATGGTGCAAACTTTCTGTATGTATGTATGTATATTAAAATATCAAAGCTATACAGTCTCATTTTAAATAACGCATTGCAATATCTTCTTAGGAAAGCACTTTCAAGAAAAACTTTTTATACAAAAGTTGTAGAGTTCTGAGGGGGACATTCGATGGTGACCTTAACCTTGACACAAAAGTCAACCTTAGAGGTCATTTGAAGGTCAACTTGCATTTTCAGGTATGTTATAGGGGGCTCTAACATATTATTTTAGGATCAAATAATCTTAATATTAAAGATATCAGTGATATGCAAGAAGGACTAATTAAAAAAAAAAGCACAACAAATAGATACAAAATGTAAATGCGCTGATGAGTACCCAGTACATTCGTTTCACTAAAAACCACTCTCTAAAATAGGTATATTTAAAAAAATTTCAACTTATCCGTTTTAATGTTTCGGTAAATTTATTAGAATACATCACATATTTTTGAGTAAATAACAAACAGTATTGTGTTCACCATACGCAAAAAATTATGATAATATAAAAAATAGGTCAACATAAGCGAAAATTCTTGAGCACTCAATATTCAGTAAGTACCTAAATCATATCCATGCCAATGTCGTACTGAATTCAAAATAGTGTTACGACTTGGCGCATCGCTTCTGCCGTCCTCGCCAAATCTGATCGTTAATCGCGTCGAAGTTGTATAACTAAACTAATTTACTACTTTTCGCGTAACTTTCTACATCTCTCACCTATCCTTTATTTTATTACTACATAATTTAATATTCAAAACCTTTTTTTAACTTTATCTTTTATGACATTTGTTGCTTCCGGATAATAACATCCACCAATAAAAATAATTAAACTCAGGTATTTACAATAATGTAATACAAAGTACTTCATTATGGTTTTGGGCATTGCTTCAAAATATGTACCGTAAAAAAGGTAAGGATTTGTCAGCATCTATTTTTAAATAATTACACGACTTTCATTAATTAAAATATCTCCTGAAGTAATGAGAATATCCAATATTTTCAATGCTGCATTGCAAAATATTAAAAATCAATAACATTTACGTTTTTTTCAATTTAATATGAAAATTTATCCCTCCTGCACGCCTCTGATGAACAAATCAGAGACATTTGTAAATGTATTAAAAATGTAATAAAAGAAGGTAGGCTCTTTTATTTTTGTTTTTTAAATATCTATACAGGATGTGCAAAAACAGAGCGATTTAGAGCGAGATAACGTAACCTTAATAATAAGAAAATTTCGCTTTATAAATTATCGACCTTCAAGAAAAGTTTCCTTTTTCTTAGAAATTTCAATAAAAATTGACATGGAGACATTTTTGGTAGCCGAACATAAATATTTACTTAAAATATATAGCTCGCTAAAATCGCCATAAATACTTTTGCTTTTTGGCCAAATTTTTTTTGGTTGGTAGAGATAAAGAGAAAATGCAAATGTTTTTTAGTCGCAATATTACTTACTTTAAAAATATACAGGGTGTCCCAGAATATGAGGGCAATCGCTCGGATTTATACAGGGGATGTCAAAAAACAGGCCTCTAAAAGATACCCCTGAAAATCGATTTTTTTTAATAACTTTTAAAATACTTTGTGTAATTTAATTATTTTTTAATAGACAACAAAGGCTTCAACAATCTTCAATTCGCAGAACTAGGGAATACATAACATTAGAAGGAGCTCA